TATATATATCTATATATATATATATATATATATATTTCTCATGTCTGTGAGGCAAGTAGCCTATATGCTGAGTTTAATTTTTGTGACGCACTCCACTCCATGGAAACCGAGACGGCAGAAAGCACTTCCTCTTTGTTTTTCTTTATTTTACAAAACCAGTGTTTTGTTGATATTGTGACTATACACAAGTTACCATTAGTGCGATCGGCCATGTAAAGTTGCTATTACTTAAATGTTTCAATTTCAAATGATAAGCCATATTTGAGATGATGAATTCCTGCCCAATATGCTGTAATTACCTCAAGGACCAACCGTTAACAAGTGGTCTGTCACGGACATTGACATTTTTTTCCTGTGACTAACCGACTAATAAACTGTTAGTCGAATAAGCCTCTTCTTGTCAACTAACGTTTAGTCAACTATTAGAGTGGAAGCCCTAGCTTCCACCCAAACAGAGGCATTTACAGCATGGTATAATAAATGATCCTTGGGGTATTTTTAGCTGAAAATTCAGACACATTCTAGAGATGCTTGAGATTTATATTATATCTTGTAAAAAAAGTATAATAGGACCCTATGAAAATGACCCAGAATCTAATAATTAAAGAAATAATAACCTTTTTTTTCTAAATGAATGAACGGTGTTTCTTTCTACATTTGCTCATATGACTTGAGTGACTTATATATCAGCTCATATATGACACGTGTGATGTAAGCATAAGATGAGTACCTATAGTCTGACGTAACTCCTCGCACAGGCTTATGTGAGGGAACTGAAGCATCTGTTTCCATTTCTTGCTCTTGCCTTTTCTGTTCCCACCCCCTCCTGCAAAGGAATCGAGCAAAGATTAAATTAGAGGCAGGAACTGCATACAGGCTCTATAATGCTATTAGATTACTATCTTAACACAGGTGGGCTTTCGAAGACAGAATGGGATATGAATACGTTTATATCATCCTATAATGTAAGTAATATACAGGTGAATGTTTAATTAAGGCACTTTTGAAAGCTTGAAAAATAAGACTTCTTTAAACTGTTTCATCAATGTTAAAACATTTAACAGATTTATCAAGTGGATTCTGGTATGTGTGATAGTATGGATGTTTGATATTGTGTGATGGTAATGACATCTCTCCCTTTTAAGAGAAGCTTCGGACTAGCTAACAAACCAGTTAGCTTTGAACTGGAAATAAAAAGAAACTGACTGTTTCTGAGATTAAAATTCTTAAATACAGACTATTCTGGTAACGACACTCAATAAACCTACTCACACACATCATGATGTAAAAAAAACATTAAATAATTTCTTTCCGACCTCTGAACTGTCATTATGTCATCTAGTACAGATGTGTCATCATAACCAATAGTGTAGATTTGATAACTATAGTATAATGATGTACAGTGTAGTGTGTTTTTAAACTATGATTTATAATATATACATTAAAATACATACGGCTCCTTAAAGCACACTAACGTGATTGTTACTTTAAGCCATTTGTGATTGTTACTTTTTTACATTACCTACTGTATTACACTTCGCATACCATCATGAGAGCTCTTTAAGAGGCTGATGGAGTAAATAAACCTGATTTTATGCAAAATGTCTATTATATTAAATTGCAGCCATGTAAAGTGTTTGTGTCAATGACAAACTCTGCCAAGAACGCAAGACACACTTGCTAAAGGGCAACAAACACATGGCTATCAGAGATAAAATGCTCAATTTTTTCAATTTCATATCTCATATTGATATATTCCAGTCTAACACGAGTTGGCTTAAGATGTAGTCCTTGTTGTTTATCTATGTCCAAGCCGTATCTAATACTTCCCTGGATTGAATTCAGGAAAAGAATCACGCCAATGCCATGAGAATGTCCCACTGGCCCGCGCCAGTCCAAGCTAACGTCATCAGGACAGCTCGGGCTCGCTGATTAGAATGACTGGCCCAGGTGCTGGGCCTGATGCGCTTGTCAACAGGCTGCACAGGGAAAGGTCAGAAAGCGATGCTGCGTGCGGGACACACTCGCTGGGAATGGAGAGGACTCTTGTGAAAGCTGCAGCCAGGTGTTTGCATTGTTGCTAGGCTATGAGGGGATTTGAAGAATAGATTCAACACTAATGGGATGGGATGGGAGGGTGGAAGATCCAATGATTACAAATGTACAGGAGAAGCTTGTGACTGCAATCTGATGAGTTCAAAACACAACCGTATGTTACAACAAAGACTTTCCCACATGAGAGACACTAGACGAGCCCAGCTGTGAATCCTCATTATCTTACATAATCGAAATCTGTTGTGCAAGCCCAGGCATTGTACCTCAACTTACCTCAAAGATATGTCACGAATAATTAATACGTAAAGTCAGGCAGGAGTGGGAGCTAGCAGGAAGCTAACACCATGGTGTGCTATTTGCAATTCAAACAATTGCTTTGCAGTTAAGAGATTATGATGGTACGGGTACAGTAGCAAACCCCCGGCATTATCGTTGTGGGAAGTTGCCAAGATGCAAATGGCTTTAGAAATGTATTGTCTATGCAGCATCAGTCCAGAGGTGAAGGGGTTTCATTCACTGTGTGCAAAACTTGCCTCCAGCACAGCAACAAAAAGGCCCCACTTTCATCAAATTATTCACAATATAAATCACCAAGAAAATATAGAACATAAAACTGATGGCAAACACTCATCTTCCTTGTTCTGCTGGAAGAGCTCTTCCGAGAAAAAAATGGAACAAGCCCTATAAATCCCTGACAGGATTGTGACATGAAACAAACAAACAAAAACAAAAAAACGCATGACTACATCCTGTCGTGTTGTTAGGCGAAAGCGTGTGAAGAGAATAAAAGGGAGTAAACAAGCAATTAAATATTTGTTGACATTTAATGTGCGGTCAGATTAGCGAAAATTTTTAAACACTTTCAAACCAAGTAACTTTCTGTTGGTCAGTGTGGCAAATTCACATGACCAACTTTAACATAGCAAAATCTGTGCGAGGAACTTTTTGCCTTCACGCAAAAACTCCTAGTCGTGCAGATTACTATTTGAATGACAGGATTTAAAATACCTTTATGCACTTTAAAGATGCAGTCTGTAAGTTTAGCCTCTTAGTCGCTATCTCTGTTTGAACCCTGCAATTGCAGTTATTTGTGGATTTATCATCTTTACATGGGTTGTGCATCGGCACAGCTCCTCAGCTCAGATGAATGTAATGTTTTGAGGAGTAGGCTATATGTGGTTGTCAGTCACTGCACTGGTGTGGATATTTACTGTACTTCGGAATCACAGATTCTACATCTTGGAAGTATAACCCAAATTAGAATTTTGACTGGAAAAATGTCATCGGAACAAGCAAGTAACATGTCTGCCACTCTTGTTCTGACCAACTGAGAAAAAAGAAGCATTACAATACATTGCGCTACCAATGGTGATAAATCTAACGATCACTTAGCTCATATCACATCAAACCATGCAAATTATTATTATTATTGTTATAATTTGTTCTCAACATGTTAATATTAACAACATCAGCTTTGCGTGACTAAGTTACGTGTATTTAGTGTGTATTAGCGTTACCTGTAGACTACTGGTGACTATGGGTGAATTTCCAGTTGTCACTGATGACTGTCATATGGAACTTTCTGGATTACAATCCGCCATCAAAATGATAAGATTAATTATTCCATCTACTGTGAAAAAAGGCTATTAATGATCCTCCACCTGCAGCATCCCGTTCAATATAGCCTACTAGCCGGGACTCCTTCTTTATGTTTACAAACGTGACGTAATGACACAAAGATGAACAGCGGCATACTTATATTTCCTGTGAAAACCTACCAGTACCACTAAAATTAAAGATAATTATTACAAGCTTACCGTTGTGAATCGGGCTAAAGTAAGGAGAGTTTTGAACACTGGCTGGTTACAGTGGGGAAAATATTTATTTGATCCCCTGCTGATTTTGTCAGTTTGCCCACTTACAAAGAAATGAAGGGTCTGTAATTTTTATGGTAGGTTTATTTTAACAGATAGATAGAGACAGAATATCAACCAAAAAATCCAGAAAAAAAAACACATTATATAAAGGTTAGAAATTGATTTGCATTTCAGTGAGTGAAATAAGTATTTGATCCCCTACCAAACAGCAAGAATTCTTGCTCCCTCAGATTGGTTATGTGCCCATGTGGAACACAGATTAGTCCTGAAGTTACTCCTAATGTCAGCTCGTTAGGTGTATAAGACACCGGTCCACACAATTTCTATCTTCCATTCCAACCTCTCCCACCACCATGGGACTTATTTCACTCACTGAAATGCAAATCAATTTCTAACCTTTATATAATGTTTTTTCTGGATTTTTTGGTTGGTATTCTGTCTATATACGTTAAAATAAACCTACCATAAAAATTACAGACCCTTCATGTTTTTGTAAGTGGGCAAACTTACAAAATCAGCAGAGGATCAAATAAATATTTTCCCCACTGTATGTACTTGCCCAAAAACTGTTTTTGTATCATTTTTAACCAAAAAAAAGTTACCGACTACAGCTTTAAATGGAAGTCTACTGCGCAAAATTGCAACAAATAAAGTGCATTTCTGTCAATTACTTTGTCTGTTTGTTTTTACAGACTGAGATAGAATTCAAAATTACAGCAAAATTGCAGTAATCAACAAAATGTTGAAAAATTCCTGAGATCCTTCAAACCTTAATAAGATGCTGACATGTTTCCCTATATAAAATAAAAACGTATGAAGTGCAACATAAATATACAACCCTCCCTAGTCCCTACTTAGATATGCTGATGTTAAATGTCATCTTAAAACGGGAAGAGACAACATGTTAAGCAATCATACAGCGGTGACTAAACTGAAACTAGCTTTCAACATTTTAAAAAGTCTTGAGAACTGTGAACAACACTAATATATAATACATTGCCTATTACATGTAGTATGCAGTTAACAACTGCTGTTTTGTGATTTGTAACCAATGTACGCTTACAAAAACATATACATGCCTCTTACACTGTTTGAAGGAGACTGTATAATTTTTACTTAACATTAACTATAGCCCCTACGATGTTGTATGGACCTTATGGTAAATTTTCAGTAAGTCTGTATATACTACTTAAACGTATACTACAACAAATGTAGCAGCCCAAGTGTGCCGCCCAAGAACGTCGGAACACGGACGAAAAAAAAATACAGCTGGATTCCCTCATGTTTGAGAAATACACCTGCCGAGAAAATTAACAACTAAAACTCCCTACTAGACAGATTTTTTGACAATGATGTCTCACCATCTAGTAGGTAGTTTACAATAAAAAAAAAAACACTTTTGAAAATCAGAGTTAATTCAAAAGTTTCAGTTAATTCAGGCGCTTATCTCGAGCACACAGGCACTAAATGACTGTTGTCAATATATATAACACTACTGACTACAATGACTATCGCTTCTCCTTTATATAGAAACGTAGACTGTTCACAAAAACGTTGTAAAATCCAAACAAGGTTTTGACAGAAACGGAGATGGGATCTTTATTTATTTATTTGATTGACAGGTCCATTTTTTTTTTTTTTTTTTTGCTCAAGGTTAGGAACACAACAAAGCAAGCTGCGAGCAACACCATAATCAACATGTAATCATCCGGTTTGATGCAGTGATTCGTAAATAAAAAAGCATCATAAAGGGTTGCACTGCTCTTGTCATTTTTGGCCTAACTTCCTTTGGGGGAATCCCCCATCGTTTTGAGGCAGATAGCACGGCGTTTGAGGATCACAGCTGTCAAAAGTGACAATGATCAGACGGGCTGTCATGTCTTACCTTCTCTCGCCTTCAGCAGAACAGTGTTGGCCACGATATTCTCGAGCTCCATGTTTCCTGGGTTGCAGGCAGGCACCGCAGGCCCAACCTCGTCGCCGGGTTGGCAGTTTATGTGTGTGTGTGTGTCTGTGTGTGTGTGTGTCTGTGTGTGTGTGTGTCTGTGTGTGTGTGTGTCTGTGTGTGTGTGTGTCTGTGTGTGTGTGTGTCTGTGTGTGTGTGTGTCTGTGTGTGTGTGTGTCCTCCCCCGCTCCCCCCAACGGCGGAATATTATTAACCCCGAATGACTCTCCGCTCTGCCGTTTCGCTCCTCTGATTCCCCGCCCAGAAGCTTCAGATTTACGTCGATCGTAGAGCCTACTATGGCAAAGCCTGAGCTCATGCATATTAACGAGACATGCTGACGTTGCTTGGTAACCAACCTCGAGCGTCCCGCTTGAACGGTCCTATGGCCCAGAGCCGCAGGCTCTGCTATGGCCCAAGCTTAGCTCATGAATATTTATAAGATTATGCTGACATTAGGTATTGCTTCTTATTAATATCTCTGTATAATTCTTATCTGATTTGTGCTCTTATTTCTTTAAGGCTTCACAAATGACCTAGTCCTTTAATCTAACGTCTATCATTTGTTATTATAGTAGACAGATAATATGTAGTTTCTTGATTTCATATGGTAAATCATTTATATATTACGGAAAAATAATGTTTTAGTATGTTTCATTTTTGTATGAATGCCTTTATTTATTTTAGTGTGTTTTATTTATTTTGTTCTGTATATAAATAGTAATATTTACAGTAACTGTAATAGTTATTGTTGTCAGTGTTGGGGGTAACGCATTACAAGTAACGCGAGTTACCTGTCCAGATTTAAAAAGTAACGCAAAAGTAACGTAACGCATTACTTTCCATAAAAAGTAACTAAGTAACGTAATTAGTTACTTTTTTATGGAGTAATGCAATATTGTAATGCATTACTTTTAAAAGTAACTTTCCCCAACACTGATTGTTGTTGACCTGAAAATGATTGTACACTTGCTTTGTGTAGTAAAAAAAAAAATCAATTTATAAAAACATCACGTGATCTGTTTAATATTCATGACCAGCAGGTCTTCGCCATAGTAGGTTTCATTGTCACAATCCAGACTGCTAGTTTAACAAACGCTATGATCTTTGTACTTGTTTTCTTTAATAAAATGCTATAATGTTTACGCATCCCGCATAAACTGTTTATTATACGGTCTAGTATTATAACAATATATCGTTGTTTATAAGCCGGTCGCTGTCTATTTATCAATGTCTGTCATGTCTTTTCTTGGATGATAAACAGATGCACATTTTTTTCAGACATATGGCGTGCCACAGCACATACCATGTGCAACTTTGAACTTGTCTTTACATGAACTGCAGATGATCAATGCAAACGAAATAAAACCGCTTACTTGTGAGTTTAGCAATGCTTAGTTTATAACACCATCTAGAGGTAAAACTGTTAAACTGATTATTAAAAGCTAATAATCTAAATATAAATGTAATCATCATCAACAACAACAACATATTTGTGGTACGCCGTGAAGTATGAAGTGTGTTGCAAAAGTTACATCTGAATATAAAACGTGCTATCACGAAATGCTACCTCTATAAGTGTAACCTAAAGTCTAGCCTGAATAACCTTTTTAATGTTCTTAGCTCTATTGACCTGCATTTTCTATTCGCGATTACATCAAATTATTTCACTATCACGACAAAGCTCGCCTCTTTTTTTGTAATGAACAATTACTGTACACTTCTTTCCGACAGGTGGCGATGTAGAATTATGTCGATTTGTTTTCGCCTTGGAGAAGAAGTCGCTGGGGAAGATGGCGGCAGGATCACGAGATTTAGGTGAGTACATTCTCTTCACACTCCATCACAGTAGGTGGCGGTATGCACCTATGAAGTTGGTTCGCAACCCGCCATAAAACCAAAAGAAGAAGAAGAAGAAGTCGCTGCTTCCGTGGTCCTTAAACACGCGTGATAAAGAGAGTCAAGACGGTTGTTAACTGCTGTGTTATACAATAATGGGTAAAACAAAAAAATCTCGTAATCGTAGTAAGTTTAATTACAATAAAGACAAAAAGAAACTGAAAACGAAGATAAGAAGAAAGGAGAAACCGCACATAGAATGGTAAGTTCAAGTACATACTACATGCCAAAGAGAAAAGGCCCTCTCGCTATACAAACAATCTATTTTATATACAATTACTTATTTTACTGCCTATTCTTGCAAAAAAAAAATTAGGTGCGCTATAATTGTATTGAATGCGTACTTGTGTACTTCATATCTTAAAATAATATTTAAAAAAAATGTTCTTGCTGACAATATAGTATTAATGCAATAATTAATGGCCACTTGAGTGTACCTAAAGAGAGTACACTTTCATGACACACAAAAATACATATTTTTTTTTAAAGTGCACTTTATTTAAATCATGTTTTAATAATCTTTTGTCCAGCTTTAAAGTACACATATTTTGTTGTTGATTAACATCTTTTGACTAACATTGGGGTGTGCTGATGATATTACTTATTTTTAAAGTTAATATGTAAACTTTAAATTGCAATTACAAACGTATTTAAATGCATGACATAAACGTTTAAATGACATCCAGTGTATATTTCAGTTTACCACAAATGCTTGTTTGTACATTCGGCAGTACAGCAGTTCTTAAATTACATATAACGAGATATATTTGTATGAGTACAATTTTTAAAAAGTATGCCCAAGTGTACTTCTTTTTTTTTATAAAAGTCATTTGTAATTTGAAACCTCTGTTGTTGACTTGTACTCATTGTAGTGTCATGCATTATGAAGTTTGTTATTAAAATGGGTCGATTAACATGGCTGATTTGAAGTCCTCAGATACGTAATGCTTGGGATGAACACAAAACAGTAAAGCAAAATCTACGAGACATGGGGCTGTCACTTGGGACAAAGGGTATGCTTCCTATTAAAAACAAAAAGGCAAGTACTAACCTTGAATCACTATGTTACAATGTATTTATACAAATCCTTTCTGCTTATGATAACCTAATGCATTTAAATGATGTTTCAGGATATGGAAAGTAAACCAGCGGAGACAAATGTATTGAAACCCTACGTCATTGAAGGTATCTATCAAACCTAATGGTTCTCAGCTGGTTTTGAAATCTGTTATCGAAATTCATGAGCTGCATAATATGATTTGGTGTCTAAATTGCAGCAATGGAGGTAGAGGCCAGTCTCCGTGGTGAGGACAGAACCACATGCTCCACTGACATGACTGAATATGTTCAATACATGGTGAAGGAACACAATGAGGATTATAAGGTAAAACAGAGCCGTATATATCAATGATCCTCCCAGACATTAAAAAAAGACTCCTTTGATAGTTCACATAACTGATTGTGTTTTATTGGCATTTCAGGCAATGGCAAGGGATGAGAAAAACTACTATCAGGACACACCGAAGCAGATTAAACGGAAAGTGGAATTATACAAACGGTGTCATCCTAAGGAATATGCTGCGTTCATTGCGTCTCTGCAATCTCAGAAGTCTATGTGATGTCACAGCGAAGAACTGGTGTCTTAAACTTATGGTCAGAATGTCACCTTTGTGTCTGTCAAGTGTGTGGACGAGTGTATACACAGAGAAAAGCTTTTCAACAGTTTGTTTCTACTATGGCAACTTTCTTTTTATAATGTTAACTTTTAAACGACGTGTATATGAATCTAGTGAGGAGCTTGAGTATCTTCCGAAGTATAAAAAATTACATTTTGTAAATTCTGACTTATTGATGGGTAAGTTTAATGTGTTTTGGCAAATAAAAATAATACACAGGAGTGAAAACAACTCCAATACAATGCAACAAAGAAAAAAGTCTGGGTTCGGTACAAGCTATCTCAAAATAATTTTGAGTTGTTTTTTTTTAAAGAGCGTTATTGTGGTTACATTTACATTAAACATGGGGTTAGGGTTAACCCTAACCCCATAAACAAGTCACTTTTAAACCAAGCAGCATTCTGCTGGTCAATGCCGCAAATTAGTGTGGAAAAATGCAAACCCAACTTGTAATATGCGGGGAAAAAAAACACAAAACCAACGAGACATATTTTCTGCGTTCAACGTTATGCCAAAATATCTCAAAATAATTTTGAGTTGTTTTTTTTTAAAGAGCGTTATTGTGGTTACATTTACATTAAACATGGGGTTAGGGTTAACCCTAACCCCATAAACAAGTCACTTTTAAACCAAGCAGCATTCTGCTGGTCAATGCCGCAAATTAGTGTGGAAAAATGCAAACCCAACTTGTAATATGTATGCGGGGAAAAAAAACAAAACCAACGAGACATATTTTCTGCGTTCAACGTTATGCCAAAAATGCTGTTGATAGAGCTGAACCCAGAACATTGATTTAAGACACAATAATTACAGAGATTTGCACTGCAGTAGTGCTTCTGTAGACATCTTTGTTGCTTCATCACCGTTTCTTAGAAGTGTCACATGCTACATGTACATGCTAAATAAAATGCGCATGACTGGTTGTGAATAAGAAGTCTGAATCTGTCAGCAGCTGTTATACAAGTTATATCAAATTATTAGCCTCACAGTTTCTCTCCAGGATTATCAAACGTGTAAGAGTGATGATTAATCAGCATTGCAAAACTCTCACTATAAGACTAAAAACAATGCGTTTGCATTCATAGAGGCCTTTCATTTGTTCATTTAGATCTGGGTTAAGCCATATTTTTCAAGAGACTGAATGTGAGATCATCTGATGGATTTCATAGTTCTCTCTCCATACCACTAGCTCTTGTTGATGGTAATTCAAACCACTTGCATAAGCAGACCATATTGATTTCACAGTGAAGAGGCCTTATTTTCGTACAGCTGTGCAACTTCAAAACAAAATCTCCATTTAAAGCCTAAATCACAGTTATGAAAAGAGAATTATCTGAGGTGTCCACTGTGAATAACACAATCTGGCATGCAAGGATAAATTGGGTTAATCTCACGGAATGTCCTATTCCACCTCAAAATCCAAAAAGAAGAAAGGTTACATTTTTAATAATTAAAAACAAATTTACACATACATATACACACACACACACACACACACACACACACACAGTGGGTACGGAAAGTA